GCGCGCCCCTCGGCCGGGGGAAGGCGGCGGGCGCGGGCGGCTCTGGCCCTGGACTCGAGGGCAGGGCTCCTCGCTCCGTCTCCGCCGCTCCCCCAGGGCGGCCGCGGGCACGGAACTCCCACGGCCGCTTCCAAAACACGCGTGTACAGGGAGAGGATCAGGTCGGGCTACGACTCGCAGCCTTCCCTGCCCTGCCCTGCCCTCCCCTTCCCTTCCCTGCCCTGCCCTGCCAGGTATTTGCTTTGTAGCTTCCAGCTTTCCCTCCCCCCGCCCCCCTCTTCCCGCAAGGAAGAAAAAAAAAGTATGTGTGTGTCTGGGGGGGGGGCGGGGGGGATAAAACCATTGAGTTTAGGCAAATAAGGCTCGGTCTCCGTGTCCTATTACAAAGCACTTTGAATATGCAAGACGTCGTCGCACAAGACCAGTTATTCCAGTTAGGACAAAGTTAAAAAGCGAGAGAAAAGCCAGGCGTGTGTAGATGGTAGTTTGTTGGCGAGGCGGTCGTCCGTGCAGCTCTGCCCCGTTTAATTTCCCCCTCGTCTGGACCGGTGTTCAGCCGTGACTCCGAAGCCCCGACCCGTCCCATCCCGTCCCGTTCCCCCCACCCCTGTCTTGGCGGAGCTTGGGAGGATTGCTGCAAGCAACGCATTTTCTGTCTTTTTGTTGCCGTGTCTCGGAGGAGAGTTGGCAGGGGTGGTGTGGTTTGCAGTTGCACAATATGTTATCATGTTTTTAATCACTAAATCATTGCAGCGGTTATAGATTTACAGTCGTAGGGTATTACAGAGAGGAGCGGCGGAGGCGATGTGCGTTTGCTGTGCGTCTGGGTGTGCGTGTGCCTCGGTGAACTTTTACGTGCTGGGATCTGTCCCCTGCTCTGCGGACGAGGAGGAAGTTGCCGTTCCCCCCATCCGTGGAGCGAAGCGGCTTAAAACCTGGCAGGCGGCCGAGCAGGAGTTGGAAGGACGGGTGCGGGAGACGCAGCGTGACCCCGTTGCCTGGGCGGGGGTCGGGGAAGGCGGGCCAGCCGCTCCAGTTCGCAGCTCGGCCACCTGTGCTGGGACTCGGGGCCGGCTGGAAGCTGCAGCGTGGGGAGCAGGACCGCGCGCCCGGGCAGGCGGTGACCCGGTGCGTCGTGTCGCCGCGAGCCCCCTTCCCGCTCCTGGTTTTCATACGGTTATGTAACAGAATCCTTGGCAGCATTAAAAATTCAGTATTACAAGCTGATTGTAATGCTCCCTCATTAGGGAGCACTGTCTGGTCCTGTATTAAGTGAACGCAGAGCGTGGCGTTTGGATTATAAACACCAATAAATATTAAATATCGGCAGAGGAGCGAACCGAGGCAGCTGCGCTCTGCCCACTCCCCGGCTGGCCGGCCCGCCTGTCCGTCCATCCTTCCCCGGCCTGCGTCGGGCCTCCGTTTTCCCGTGGCGCGGCTGGTCCGGCTCTCCGGCGGCGACGCTTTCTCGGGAGAGGGCTCGGGGCCGCACAAAAGGTTTCGAAGTTTGTTTTGTTTTGATCTCTATTAACCAGGTCCTTCAGTTTGCTGATGTCATTTCCTTTCATATTTGAGCTGTTTGTTGTGCCTCCCCCCGTCTCAGCTGGAGCCTACGGCGGTGCGGGGAAGTGCAGCCGCCGAGCAAGTTCTGGGTTCAAAGGCTGAGGGTCAAGTAGTGCCTTTCCGTCACTCTCGCATTTGCCTGCTCGGGAAGGAGCTGCGATCCCAGGATCTGGTTAAAGGCTCGGGCATCTACTTTCTGTGGCCTGTCCATGGGCTGCCGTGGCAGGCGATGATTCATCTCAATTTCCTTTTCTCTCCCTCGCTCCCCGTCTTAATGTCTTTAATACTCTCCTCTGTCCCTCCCTCCCTCCCCCCTCCAAAAAAAAAAAAAAGTTCTAATGACGACTTCAATTCACTTGCAAATCTGAGGCCAGCATTAGTGGGGCTCCCGCTGTGAAAAGAAGGAAAGTGTTGCAAGGCTTTTTCCCTTAATTTCTTTCCTCGTCTTCATCTCCAGTTTAACATTTTTAAGTGGTTTTTTCCTCTCCCTGGTCAGCCGGCTGACTCGGAGATAGGGATCCAGTTTTCCTGATGTTACTAATATTACCGTCCAGCCCCGCTCTCCTCCGTGAGCAGCCTTCGGTCAGTAACAAAAGCAAACAAAAGAAGCAGAAGGGAGAAAAAGAAACTAATTGTGCTAACTGCAAAGGTGGTGCTTCATTTTATTTTATTTTATTTTATTTATTTTTTTATTTTTTTTTAAGGTCTGACTGTACTAGGAAGAGTGGCCATTAGGAACTTTGCTTCAGCTTTTCTGCAACCAAGCTCTGGTGAAAAATGAACCAGCACTGACACTTGGCTTGATGTGACACCCCCGGGTAACCTCTTTCACTTTCCACGGCGCTGGCCTTTTGTTCCCGAAGAACTGAGCTAAGGTGCTTTTCAGTCAGACCAAAGGCAGCACAAGAAGTCTCCGCGTGTGCTTGGCTCCTTTGGATGGCCTTCTCGTGGTTATTGTCAGAGCCGAGTCTAGCAAACAATCACGCTGGTGAGACACAAAAGCAAAAACATTTGTCCATGGTTTTTAATCTCTTCGGTTTAGAATTTTTTTTCTTCTTCTTCTTCAAATTTCGCAGTTTGTTTGTGTCTGGGGAGAGAGCAGTGGAATAGCACGGAGCAGATTTTCTCTGGGCCTGGCCAGCAGTTGAACAGCTTCAGCAGAAATCGCTAAATCCTCAACTGATGGACATATGGCTGACTGCATTAGTCTCTCTTAACGTTTGCTTCCACTTTTCAGCACAGCAGTTCTGGTATCCCGAAAAGGCAGGAAGGGAAATGCCAGGCTCCTGTGTTAACTTTCGGTAGGCACCGTTTTTGTTGACATCTTCCTCCCTTGCATGTGCGTCCCTCACTCCTGTCAGTCCCAGGTCTGCTCGTCCGCTGTGGAGGAATTGTTAGGCAACCATCTTATTCCTGGCTGTGCTGTTGCTGGAACGAGCGGTGTTTCTGTTACGGTCATTTAATGATAAAAGTGTCTTGCCCAACGTTGAAGAGATCGGCGCGTTTTAGAAGAGGCTAATTTCCCCCCCGCCCCAACCTCTTAAGCCCGTCAACTTTGTTTTGAGCGGAGCGCATCCCGCCTTTAGCCTTTGTGTGGGTTATGTGAGGCTGAATGGAGACGCATGTGTCGGACGGGAGAGATGGTCCATGAAAAAAGCAGGAGTCCCGTTCCCTCCCTGCCTCCTTCCCCACATCTGCACCGGGCATGCAGCTGTGCTTCCAGGTCTGTCGGTGCTTTTTGTTCTCGGTCCCTGGGTTTTGGGCGCTGCACCGCAGGCAGAGCCTTCCGTGGCCGAGGCGAGGTGTCCGGGGTGTGTGCAGGACGACTCCATTTTCTCTTCCTCCCCCTTCTGGAATCGCACCGTAGCCCGTTAGTCCCCGATGGCAGGTTTACACCTCTGCGTTAGGAAGAAGGGAAAAGTAAAGCAGACGGAAGAAATTCTGCTGGAAACGGGCACTGTTTTCAGCACCTGCCTAGGGCTGCCTGTGCTTCCTCCTCCTATTTTCTGTCGTTTGAAATCTGGGTAGGATTTTCAGTCTGTGGAACTAATGTTGGCACGATAGAGTTGTTGAGGGTTGTCGTGGCAGGAGAATGGGAATCGAAACATCTGTGCATAGGCCTCGGCACAGCAGACTCTAATGGTTTTGACGGAGCTGTTGTGGTCTGTTGTCTGGAAAATCTGCATTCTACATAGCGCCCGAGGGGGGCCTCGGCACCACAGACCGTAACGTGTACCCAAATAGGGCTGCCTAGGCACAATGGGGAGAGGTGAGGGCAGGGGGATCTTCGCTCAACATCCTGCCTCTTGGCTTGCTCTGGATTTACAATTTTTTTTGTAAGCATAGGGAATGATTTAATGCAAGAATAAGTGTAACCAGGCTCAATTGCGCTAAAAGAAGAAAAAAGTGGTGGGGGGGAGAGAGGAAATACCAAAGGTTTCCCTTTTTCGTGGAAATGGTGGAGCTGGTCATCTTTGTCCCTTATTTCAGAGGTGGTATCTGCCTTGGAAGTGCAAGAATGTGAACGGGATGTACGTGTACTCGCTGCATGTGTATAAAGAAACCTGGCTGGTGCAGTTGTATCTGAGAGGGACTTCCCAGCTGGCGCAGGTGCTCAGTCTCCCGTTCTGGAAATGGGGGGGCTAGTGAAAGTCAGTGCTTTCTGTTTCTGGTTTTGTTTTGTTTTTTTAATGCTTGTCTTGCCGGTCAGTCCATGCGTTCGGACGAAACACGACTGACTGGCTTCCAGAGAAGTGGAGTTGTCGGAGTGACCGTTCCCGTTTTCCTGGGGGTGGCACAGGACACAGGCGTCCATCTGTCAGCGTTGCGGGGGCAAAGCGTTGATCTCCCCAGCAGCCACTGCTTAAAGAACATATTTGTTAAGAATGGCCTTTTAGATCAGGACTGCATTATGTCTGCTTTCAGAGAGAGGGTATACCGTACAGTTCAAAGCTCTTTCTGATTTGAAATGATTTTTTAATTCGGGGGTATTGAGAAGGGAGCCATCTGATTCGGTTGTGGAGCACCGCGGCCTTCAGGTTGTGTGCCTGCTGCTGCTTGGAGCCCAGAGCCTGCTTGCAGAGTGTGCATCCGCGGGGATCGGAGGCTGCTGGAGGGGCCTGGGCGGTGGAAGAAGCAGATTGTAATGGCCATTGTTCAGGACCCTCTCCCTGCTGAAAGATCCTGACCTTGTCTTGTGGCCCTCTGGGCTCTTTTACGTTTTCCTCTTGAAGTCATTGTTGCATTTAAGATATTTAACTGTTGGCTGGCTGTTTTTTGTGGTGCGATCCCATTATTAATATGCCCCTTGTTTAATAAAAGTTCAAGTGAAACAGCAGAATTAGGTTTTCTCAAAGCAGAAACATTTTTCTGTCGTCCCTAATTCATTCTACAACGTGTGTTCCTGGGAAGGTGGAAAGAGCAAGCCCAGAGAAATCAGGCTTTCAGGTCTCGGGTTTCAGAAAAGATTGGGGTTTGGAGAAAGGAAGGTAGCTTCTCTCTCAAGTTTGGGGAGGGGGTGGGGCTGGAGATATCGATAGCGATAGGACCACAACAGACAGTATTATTACTGTTCATGGAGGATTCTTCCTCCCCCATGGGAAAGTTAAAATTGTGTGTTTTGTGCAGCATTTAGCCCTGTCTGAGCACTTGCTCTGAGGACATGAATGCACCTGTAGAAAAATCACCATGCCCTAGAAATGAATGAAATAGGCAGGTCCTGGAAAGTAAGAGTTTGCTGTGATGCTGTTCTTTCTTTGTGTGAATACTCTGCCTGCTCCATCTCCCTCCCAGTGTACCGATAACCTAGGATGGCTGGCTAGAAAGTTTGTCGAATCACTGCCTCTCTGGAATAAATACAGATACGTGCTTCGCAGGGCTTGCCTGGTGTCTGCATGAGAAGCCGAGAGAGAACCGCAATTCTTTCCATCAGCAATAAACTAATTGCAGAATGGCCTGTTAGTGTGCCGAGCTTTAGATGCCCCCCTCCCCCCCATCATACCATAAACAAGCTTGTTCAGGCGTACTGCCGCACGTACGAATCCCGAACCCTGTCCGGTCTTACGGTGATGGGCACAACACACATACTCTCTGCATTATTTTGGCACCTGTGCTATTGCTGTTCAGTGTATACCGATACTGTTTTCTGGGTTTTTTGCCTACCTCTTATGAAACAAGCGTGGGAAAAACAGAACAGATGGATGGGTGTTGGAGGCACTTGCAGCCTGAAGGGGTTGCAGTCAGAAACAGCCCTAAGTGGGCTGGTGTACGATCCGCTTTGGCCTACCAAAGCCCTTGTGCCTTGGTGAGAGGTTGAATGCTTGGAGGATGTGGCTGTAGTGCTGGGATTTGACTTGGGAGGCTGCCTGAAGGGGGCATGCAAACTAATGCTCCTGTAAGAAATCCAGGAAGGAGGGAGCTGTGCTGATTTCTGGGGATAGTGGCGTGCATTTGGGTCATGGCAGGTCAGCGTTCGGAGCTGTTTCAGCATCTGAACGTTGTTCTGCAGCTGGCTTGGTTGCAATACATCCTCTTCATTTATTGCATCTGTGTTGTAGACATGCCTGAGGGCTACAGTCCTAGACCAAGATCCGACCGCCCTAAACATTGTTAGAAACACAGGGCAAAAAGATGGGTTAAGGCCCCAAGCTGCTTGTCTAAGTAATATCCCACAATCCGGTTGCTGAGGTTGTCGGATGCGACTCCAGTTGCCTTTAAAAGGGGAAAGAGGTCTCTCCAGTGGAAAGCACAAAACATCAGCATGCACCAGGAGGAGCCAGTTTCATCCCAGTGTACGCTGCCTCGTGCGCTGTTGGTCAGGGATGTTTCTCCAAGCCGAGAGAAATCTGCCAGTGGGTCGCGGGCACGGCTCGGCCTTCTGGGGACTTTGGGCACCCGTGAGGTCTGCGCCAGGTCATCTTTCCTCCAGACGTGCGTCCGTTTCCGAGGCTGAAGTGGATGTGCGCGTGCTTGGTTTGTGTGCTAGCGAAAGCTTTTCTGAGCGGCCGTGCAGTCACTGAAGGAGCGCGAGAGCTCCCGGCTGCTGTGTACCCAACGTCCTTGCATGCATTTCCGATTAGCAGCCCCTTACTGTGCCAGACAGAACTGTAGATGTCAGGCTTTGCACAGAAAGGAGAGCGAGGCATGAGGGTGAGGGAGAGACAAGCACACGAGCAGCAGGGCTGTGAGTTTCAAATTAACCTTCTGCTTTGTTGATGTCTAACGTGAAGCCCCCCCTTTCCTCGGCCCCCTCCCAGTGCAGTCCTACCGGCACATTGTGAGAGCCGGACGGCATTTACATAAAGCTATTACAAGAAGCTGGGCAGCGGGAAGGCTGCATTCAGGCGGCAGCCTCTGGGGGCCGGGAACTGGATGCCTTGCGCCGACTGGGCACATCCAGCCCTGGGGGAGGGAGTTTCCCTTCCCGGGAATATTGGGGGGCGGAGGGAGGAGAACAAATGCCCCGCACGCCATTCAGCGTAATCGCGGCAGTGGAATATGGGAAAGACCTCGGATCATCGTGCGCATCTCGCAGGGCCCTGTGCAGGATTGTTTCCTGGCAGGATGTTGCCTGCTGTTTTTTTCCAGTCCAGTTTTAAGCAGTGGGGATGCCGCCCTTGCCTTGCGGAGGCGATACCACGGCCTGCGTGCCTCCATTCCTAGAAAGTTCACCGAGGGGGAACCTCACTTTTTCCTTTCTCAGTGTCACTCGTTCTAGTTAGAAACTTTCCTAGCCTGAATTTTTCTCTGGCTTTGCTGTTTACATCCTTCAAGTATTTGCGGGCTGTTAGAAATGCAGCTGGCTGATGTGAACGTGGTGGCAGGGTCACGAAGGCCTGTATTCATTGTAACGCTGGCTGCAGGCAAGTAGTCGAATCTTTGTGCCTCCGTTCCCGTGTGTAAGAAAGAGATGTTTACCTCGCCACAGGATCCTTGATAAAAGATCTGCAGGGTGGTTTGGATGTGGAAATCTGTGTCGTGTCCCCTACCTTGTGCATTTGGGCATTTCATCTTCCCTCCCAGGCCACTCGTCGCTGTCGGTTGGGCAGGTGCTTGGACCTGCAGTGTCCTAGGGATGGGCACACTAGTTGCTGCAAGAGGGACACTGCTTCCTCCTTGATCCATAATGCGTGTTTGTAGATGAAGCTGTTTCTTTGCTTCCCCCATTTCCCCAGTACGTGGGCATAGCTGGGCCTTATGAATTTATTCTGGCATCTTGGCATGGAAAGAAGGCCAACTTGGATAACGAGGTTTGGGAGCCGTGGCTGTTCTGCAGGGGTGTCAGACCTAGGAGAGCGCATCT